TAAGGAAGAAAGATTCGATTCGATTCCCCGATTCGATCGATCAATCTCATTTGAAGAAGAAGATGATCCAAAATTCTTATTTTATATTATTATTATTTTATAATAATGGTCTAATTATCGTAATGGTCAACGATGATTACAAAAATCGATGTTCAATAAAAAAATATTAAAATAATGAATGAGATTCGACCTGAAAGTAAGAATTGCGAGGATCGATTCGAATCCATCCTTTTGAAAACTCAACTTTTTAACGTTCTTTTATTGTTCCACGAGGAATGTCATCCTGAAATTTAATGCAATCTCGGTTACTCATATTTTACGGTTAATTAGGATGGCCGATGGAGCGATTCACGTAACCAATTCGAGTAATTAAGCGGGGATCTCCCGCTTAATTTGTTCACATTACGCTCTTCTAATTAGTTTGATGAAAAGAGGTGGCGCGCTCGCGAGGAAATTCTTTTCCATTATTTTGCGGGACGGCCGTTTTATCGGGGGACCAACAATATGTTGAAACGTTAAGAAGGATCGAGGCAGGATATGAGGAATTTTATTGTTTGACGATTTCATTTGTCTAAAAAAAAAAATGACCTCTTTAAAAGTTAAAATTTCTTAACATTGGCGTCAATTTTGTTTCCAACTTTCTATAGTGTATATACGTGAAATTTGAAATATTGGAACACGTTTTGTGAGATGAGAAAATACTGAAAGGAATTTAACGTTAAATTAAATAAATCTCACAATATACATTCGGAAAACAATATTCCTCTTGGCGCAATCCTCAATTCGAAATCAAGGAAGAAGAAAATCAATTCCACGACTTGATTAATTTCATCTAGATAAGAAGATCCAAAATTCCAGACACGAGTAAGACATTCGTTTCCACAATCTATCAAAATTAATCTACAACATACAATGTACAACATAAAATCTACATTCCCTCTGGAAATGATGAAACATAATAAATCTCGCACTTCCAGCACACAGGAAAATAATATTCCTGCTAACATCCAATCCAATTCTCAGTTCGAAATCTATCAAGAAAAAGAGATCTTCGATTCGATTCCTATCGAAATTAATCTACAACATAAAACATTAAAATCTACATTTCCATCGAAACTGATTAAATATAATAAATCTCGTACTTCCAACATAAAAATAATATTCCTGTCCTGACATCCAATTCTTAATTC